CACACAGGGTGGACACAGCACTGAGCAAAAGCAGATAGTGTCCCCTCATCAAATTCAGTCTAGAGTTTTCCACAAGTAGAGAAATAAGTCACACTAAGAACATCATTTCAACAGGTTGAAGATCGAGCTCAATAACAGAACGCTTGCCTAGCAAATATAAGGCACTGAGTCCTTATCACAATCACAGGGGTGTGCGGGCACACGCTTACTGAGTCCTTATCACAAACACAGGGGTGTACGGGCACACGCTTACTGAGTCCTTATCACAAACACAGGAGTGTACGGGCACACGCTTACTGAGTCCTTATCACAATCACAGGGGTGTGCGGGCACACGCTTACTGAGTCCTTATCACAATCACAGGGGTGTGCGGGCACACGCTTACTGAGTCCTTATCACAATCACAGGGGTGTGCGGGCACACACACTGAGTCCTTATCACAGTCAGGCACTGTTCTAAGCAGAGCTCCTCAACACACATGACCACCTTATGATACAATCACTACTGTCATCCGGAGCAAACAGAGCCCCAGAGCAGCCACCCATGAAGAGGAGCCGCTGCCAGGATTCTGGTACAGTCAGTCAAGCAACAGCACTCAAGGGTCTTACACGCTCATTAGTTTTATAGGGCTTTAGTGTAACTGGACATTTTTAGAGTACAGCTTTTGTAAGCCAGATGATCTCTGGGGTGTGCTGTCAAATGAGAAAAAAATAAATAACATCACCCCAAACACAATAACAAGAGTATTTAGTAGAGTACCTGCAATGTGCCTAACAGGTGTTCTGAGGCTTAAGATATGTGTGCCTACAGAATTTCACAGGTACCCTTCGAGGAGGCTGGGTAAGGTGGCACACTTCTGTGATTCCAGTACTTGGAAAGCTGGAGAAGTATAAGTTTGAGGTCAGTCTGGGCTATATAATAAGACCCTGTATCACAGACAAAACAAATCAAGTCATAAAAGCTAGTGTGGTGTGAGAGATTCTACATCATCATTCTTGTTTTACAGCCGGGACTGAGGCATGGCAAAGTTCCTAACCTGCTAAAGAAACAGAGTATTGAAGCTCAGGCGTCAGTCCAGAGGCCGGGCCAGACCACCTTACTGTGCCCCTTTCTGTATGTGCTTCTGCCATTCTCCTCCATGCAGCTTAAGAACACACAAGGCACTTTCAGGAGCATGAAAGGGCCCCGAGGGAGAGTTAACGTGGGTGTCTCTAGACTGGGATTCCAGAACCCCGCTCTGGACAGGAATATTCAGGCTGAGACTTGAAGAATGGGAAGGAGCCAGAGAGAGACTACAGCCAAACACCCAGGCACACAAACATCAAATGCAAAGTCCAAGGATAGACTAGAACTTGCAACTTCAGGAAAACAGAAAGCAGGCCAGTACAGCTGGACCTCAGTGACAGGGAGGACATAGAAGGAAGGTACAGCCAGACAGGTGGTAATGGTGCACACCTTTAATCCCAGTCCTCAGGAGGCAGATGCCAGCCTGGTCTACAGAGTGAGTTCCAGGACAGCCAGAGCTATACAGAAAAATCCTATCTTGAAAAACCAAAAACCAAAACAACAAAAAAAAGAAGGTACAGTCACTATGGTGAGCAAGGGCCGGGCGTAGTGGCTCATGCCTTGAATCCTAGCACTTGAGGGATAGAGGCAAGTGGATCTCTGTGCATTCGAGGCCAGCCTGGTCTAAGTAATAAGTTCCAGGATAGCCAGAGCTACATAACAGAAAGACCTTGTGGGCAAGGGCCACTTGTCTAGAATCCAGCAGTCTGGGTGGAGGGGACACATTCTCTAAGGCATCAAACACTCACCAGAGAGGAAAAAGAGCATCAGCAGCTTCCATAGATCCATCCTTTATCTGGACACTGTGTGTGTGTGTGTGTGTGTGTGTGTGTGTGTGTGTGTGTGTGTGTGTGTGTGTGAAGAAGGGCACAATCACAATTTCAAATCCCTTCAATCCCATAGTATGGCTGTCGTCTCCATTTTATAAAAAGATTTATGTGCCCAGGCAATGACTGGAGAACCACTCTTTTTGTTCTTTCTTTCTTTCTTTCTTTCTTTCTTTCTTTCTTTCTTTCTTTCTTTCTTTCTTTCTTTCTTTCTTCTTTTTTTTTTTTCGAGACAGGGTTTCTCTGTACAGCTTTGCGCCTTTCCTGGATCTCACTCTGTAGCCCAGGCTGGCCTCGAACTCACAGAGATCCGCCTGGCTCTGCCTCCCAGTGCTGGGATTAAAGGCGTGTAAGGCGTGCCACCACCACCCGGCCTTGAGAACCACTCTTGTGTTGCTGGTGGAGTGGAAAGCTGGCTTAGCAGTTAGGAGTGCACTTGTTGCTCTCCCAAAGGACCCACAACCATCTGTAACTCCAGTTCCAGATGATCCAGCGCCCACATGGTGCACATACATAAATGGAGGTAGAAAGCCCCCCACACACAAAAATAAGAATAAATAAACCTTTAAAAAAAGAAACAAAAAACTACTGCCTTGGGGTCAGAGACGTGGCTCAGTGTCAGAACATGAACCAAGAATAGTGTCATGTGGGGGAATTCTGAGTGTTTGTGAGAAAATTCCAAGAAACCAAGACAAGAGTCTTATGACCTCAATTTCTTCAAAAACACAGAATTGTTCTTTGATGATGCTTTTGTGCCCCTCCCAGGTGTAGCAGACATGAGTGAGTTTACTTCAGATTATTCATTACAACTGGCTATTATTTGTTCATGTGCCTCTATGGAGAAACATGTTTCTGCCACGTGCAGCCTGTCCTTGTGACTGCACACTTTACTCAGGTGACTCCTCTTAACCCTTGGAGTACAAACTGTGTTATGTTCTGAATAAAGCTGGCTATTGCACGAGACTTTAGTCTGACTCATTTATTGGCTCCATTCTCCCAGGTCCCACCTCTAGAGCAGTAAATGACTCAGCAGGTAAAAAATGTTCTTGGGACCAAAGCTGACAACTTGAGTTCAAATCCCCAAAACCCACACAAGGAGAGTCTAATCTCAAAAGTTGACCTCAGACATTTACACCTGCACCAAGGTACAAAATCCATCTCCCCCAATAAAAAAGTGTAATATAAAAAATGTCTGGCAGGGGCTGGAAAGATGGCTCCCAGGATAAGAGCATTGGCTGCTCTTGCAGAGGACCCAGGTTCAATTCCCAGCACCCACACGGCAGTTCACAACTGTCTGTAACTCTAGTTCCAAGGGGTCTGGAACCCTCACCACAGACACATACATGCAGGCAAAACACCAGTGCATGTAAAATACGTAAAAATCATTTTAAAAATGTGTTGCTAATAGCATTCCTTCTTCCTAAAGTCATTTCTGTGTCTCAACATGTGTGGAACTGACCAGGCGTAGGTGGCACACGCCTTTAATTCCAGCACTTGGGAGTCAGAGGCCAGCCTGGTCTACAAAGGGAGTTCTAGGACACCTAGGACTGTTACACAGAGAAACCCTGTCTCGAAAAAAAAAAAAATTTTTTTTTGTAACTGTTCTGTACACCCTCCTCCCCAGGCAGCACTACTGAGATTTTACAGATCATTACTCTCATTCTCCTAATTGTGAGCTGTAAATACAGAGTAAGAATCCCTTCTAGCGAAAGAAAAGGGAAAAAATCAGGAGCTGAGAAAAAAGGTAGAAATGTTAAGTAAGTAAGGGAAGCAAGCAGAGCCTTAAAGACCCAGGGGAATGATGTCAACAAAATATGGGGCGCCATGGAGGAGGCAGGTCAAGAGCCACAGCCGCCCTCTTCCTCATACCTGGGTTTGGCACTCTGTTGTTGCTGCTGTGGATAGCCAGAGCTACGTAACAGAGACCTACCTGGTGGGCAAGGCCCACCCAGCCCTATTCCATAAAAAAAGAAAGAAAAACAAGAAAACATTGGAATGGAATAGATAAGTGTCTTAGGTTACAGAACGGGAAAGTGAGACTTGGGAAGATTTGTAAACGCAAATAATTTCCCAAAAGTTGGAACTAAGATAACGCAATGTGCCAACACTGGATGGAGCCAGAAAGATGGGCGGCAACCAACGCTGAAGTCAGCAGGAAAGTGGGAGGAGCCTTTGCTCAGGGGGCGGGCCTTCCGGACCAGGCAGGCCAGGGAAGGCAGCCTGCAGCAACACGTAAAGGGTGATGGGAGGGGCCGAGGCCCTCAGGCGGGACCAAGGTGGCCCAGAGAAGCCCGGAGCAGGGTGAACAGGGCGAGCGGACTCTCACCCGGTTCTGCACTGTGTCCTCGGGAGCCGCCGCGAGTCGCGTCCGCCGCCGGAGGCAGAGCGGTGGGGCAGGAGGCGGGGAGGACTGGTTTCTCCGCGCCGGAACCCCCGCCATAACAGAGGGCAGCTTCTCTACCGTATCACTCCGTGCGTAGCCTCCGGCCGCTAAGGCCGCCATCATCCTGCCAAAGACCAGCGTCCGTTACGCTCTTAACAGCCGTCTGTCGCCAGCACCCACTCGAATAGCGAATGGCCGCGGGAAAGCCGGCGCCGCCGCCCATTGGACGCGGCCGCCAGCCCGTCTGGCCAATCGCGAGGCTGCCAGGCGGGCTCATTGACCAATGGTAGCTAAGAGGCGGAGCTGGGGGTGGAGCCACGGCCAGTCTATTTCAATGCTTGTGAGCCGTGCTGCTATCTCGAGCAGCTAGCGTTTTTTCGCTCACAGAGACGTGGGACTTCTAACTTTTATGAGGCTAAGCCCTCAGCTTGTCTTTTGCCACAGTCCAGGGCGACTATTCAAGCTGTAGCAGTCTCCCGGATGTAGCTATAGGGCGGAGCCAGAGAGCTTGGACTTGGCGCAGGCTCAGGAACACCACTGCCCTACTCTTGCCTGTGCAAGTGGTGAGGGGCTGGCTGTGCGCGGATGTAGTCGCTCTCCCTTCGCGTGATAGGGACGTAGTCGTGGTAGCACGAGGAACATCGTGTACGTATGCGCTCTCAGTTTCCCCGTCACGTGTTGAGACATCCCACTCCCTCCCCCGTGGGCTGACGTGAGGCCGGTTGATGGCACGCGGGTGGGGCGGGGTGCCGTCCTGGCTGAAGTGGGTCGAAATGCTTTCGCTGACTGGCAGGACTCGACGGGGTTGGATAGCTGTGCCTAAGTGCTGCGGGGCTCCAAACTGCTTCAACACTGCGGGCCAACTAGGCGCAGACAACCAGCCTGGGAGCGTCTACAAGTGAGCGCAAGCACGGGGTGGGGCTCAAGGAGAAATGCATCTGGGCAGACACTTGGTCCTGAGGGAGTCCTGGAAGATGCTGCTGGGAAGGTGCAGGTGTAGATAATGTAGTTAGTTCACTGCTACAATCCGAGCGAGAGGGATGTGTAGACACATAACTCTCCTTGTCCATCTCCTGTTTTATTTTTCTCTAACCTGGAGCATCACATGTTTGAGGTATTCAACGTTGTCAGCCAGGTCACTGAAGCCAACGGATTTTGCTCTCTTGTTTCCTGTTAGTCCTAGGTTTCTAGTGCCTGGCACGCACTATGTGTCTACCAAATATTTGTTGGAAAGGTTTGATTTTACCCCAGCTGTCCATGTCTCATCTCTCCTTTGAGGGAACTTTGTGCAGGGTAAAGAGGGTCAGGGGAGTCTTTACATCTAAATCAATGGATTTGTTTAAATATATTTTTTGACACTATGGTGTCATGTGGGCATGACATGTCACTGTGGGCATGTTGGCACACACGTGTAATCCCAGCACTTAGAGGCAGGAGGATCAGGTCCTCCTTAGTTACATAGTCAGTTAGAGACCAGCTTGGGCTACAAGACTCCCTATCTCAGAAAGCCAAAATGAAAGCTAGGCGTGGTGGTTCACACTTATAAATAATCCCGAGATTTGGGAGGTAGAGGCAGGAGGATCAGTAGTTGAAGGTTGCATAAAAGAGTTTTAGGCCAAACTGGACTACGTGAGAGCCTGTCTCAAAAACCAAAACCTTTAAATAAATGAATATCACTGTGGCACACAAAGGTCCTGTTTCTGTTATGAAGAATCTTTTCTGTATTGAGACAGGATCTCTCTATGTAGACCTGGCTATCCTTGAACTCACAGAGATCCTCCTTCCTCTGCCTCACGTGTGCTGGGATTAAAAGTGTACACCATTACACTCAGTTTATGACAGATCTTATAGACAGGTCTCTGGGCTTGGTGGTGTGCACCTGTAATCCTAGGAGGTGGAAGCTGGAGGGCTTCAGGAGCTCAAGGTCATCTTTGGCTACCTAGCAAGTTCTAGACTGATCTGGACTACAGAAGACTTGTCTAAAAAAACAGACAAAATAAGCAAAACCACATAGGTGAAAGGGCCAAACATTGATGAACTGAATACAAAAACAGGGGGCATCAATAATCCTTCCCAGCAACACTTACAGCAAAATCACTAAGACTTTGCCTGTACGAGTTATAATTGCAAATGGAAAACTCTCAACTAAATGATTAGGAAATTGGGGGTGAGGGAAAGCACATTCCCAAACGACTTCTCATTGTATCTATGTCACCACCACTCATCACCTCTTACCTAGACACAGTGACAGATGGCTGCTCACTAACTCGTCTTACAACAGTAGTATACATGAAGAGCATTTATGTGCCAGGCACTGCCTGGCATGTAACAGTAATGAGGACAATGACAACCAGCTGTGTGCTGCAGCCAGATAACTTCGTAAAAACCAGGGCCTTTTGTTTTGCTTATATGTTTTCAGATAAGGTCTTATAGAGCTCAGGCTGACCTTGAACTCATGAAATTAAAAATAACTTTAAACTCTTTAAAATACTTATTTATGATTGCATGGCGGGGGTGTGCATATGAGTATTGATGTTGGCAGAGGCTAGAAGAGGGCACTGGATCTCCTGGAGCTACAGTTGTAGTTTTGAGCTGCCCCAGTGAGTTCTGGGAACTGAACTCTGGTCCTCTGCAAGAGCAGTACATGCTTTTAACCACTGAGCCATCTCCAGTCCAACTCCTAATCCTGCCTCCAGCTCCCAGATAATGAAGATTACAAGCATGCACTGCCATGCTTGGTTTAAAAATTGCTTCTCATCTTTGTTGGTGCCTACTAATGGCTTCTAGGCTGCTCATCACAGGGCTAGCCCATTTCCATCTTAGAGCCTTCACCCAGCTGGTCTTGCAAAAGAAGACACTTAAGAGTTAGATGAAGAGCAGCAAGATGGCTCAGTGGATGAAAGTGTTAACTGGACAAGCCTAATGGACCTGGTTCAGTCCCTGCGATCCACAGTGGAAGAAGAGAGCTCACTCCTGAAAGCTTCCCTCTGACCTCCACACATGTGGACATGTGTGACATGTGCCTTTCCACCTACACTCCCCAATATTAATAATAATTACATTTCTAAAAAGGGGGCCAGGTGATGGCGCACGCCTTTAATCCCAGCACTCAGGAGGCAGAGGCAGGGGAATCTCTAAGTTCAACACCAGCCTGGTCTACAGAGTGAGTTCCAGGACAGCCAGGGCTGTTACACAGAGAAGGTTGTCTCAAAAAAAAAAAAAATTTAAAAAGGGAAGAAGAACCCAGATATGGTGGTACACTCTAATCTCTGTATGAAGGGGGTAGAGGCAGGCATAACTCTGATGCCAGCCTGGTCTACATCGTTTCAGGACAGCCAGGGTCTGTACATCTATCTCAATCACCACCAACCCCCAAGAAAAAGAAAGAAAAAAAGAGTATTTCCCAAAGAGATTCAAGAGCAGGCTTGGTGCCAAGTAGGAAATGAGGTGAAACAGTGAGAAATGGCTTCTGGGAAGTCAGCTGAAAGCCTGCCGAGAGCCAAAGAGAACATTCATTAGTCCTTTTTACGTCTTTTAGAGCTTTGTTCTAGGGGCCTATTATTAAGAAGTTACATCTTCTTAACAATCACAAAGTCCTCAACAAACAGTGGCTTAAGCAAGTTATGAAGTCCATTATTGTAGAATATTATTTTAAGATACATTACATTTGTTTATGCTGTGGAATATTTGTTTAATGATGCAAAGACGTGTTGCAGTCTTTTATGTTGCATTTGTTTAACTCTGTGAAGTTGTGTTACTGTGCCTGTCTAAAACACCTGATGGTCTAATAAGAGTTGAACAGCCAATAGTGAGGCAGGAGAAAGGATGGGCAGGGCTGGCAGGCAGAGAGGATAAATAGGAGAAAACGGGGAGGAGGAGCAAGGGATCAAGGAAGGAGGACAATGATAGGGGCCAGCCACACAGCCAGCCACACAGCCACACAGCCAGCCACACAGCCACATGGCCAGCCACACAGCCAGCCACACAGCCACACAGCCACACAGCCAGCCACACAGCCACACGGCCAGCCACACAGCCAGCCACACAGCCACACAGCCACACAGCCAGCCACACAGCCAGCCACACAGCCACACAGCCAGCCACAGAGTAACAGTGAAAGTAAGATATACAGAAGAAAGAAAAGGAAAAAGCCCAGACGTCACTGGGATAATTTAAGTTAGGAAAAGCTGGCTAGAAATAAGCCAAGCTAATGCTGGGCATTCATAAGTAATTATAAGTCTCCATGTGTTTACTTGGGAGCTGGGTGGTGGGCCCCCCAAAAGAGTTAAAAGCAAAAGAGTAAAACAACCAACATCCATGGAACCAGACCATGGAACCAGCATCATTAAGTTACACTGTAGTCTCAAACTCCCCAGTTTCAGTGGCTTACCACAGCTCGGGCATAGTCCTTGCTCACAGTCTGTTGCAGGTAATTGGTAACCCTGCTCTACAGTGTTTTAGTTGGGGACTCAGCCTGGAGGAGCTGTCCCTACTTGGAACATTGGGTCTTATGAAAGGAGGAAAAGAGAAAATGCAGGGATCTACCCAGTGCTCCTGGGAAATTTTGTGTTTAGGAGTGGCCTGTAATACTGCACTCACATTCTTCAGACATAGCAGTTATATGTAGTAAGCAGCTTGTCTATGGAAGAGAGCAAAGGTTTTGAATGGTACAACTCCCCATGGGATTTTGTTTCCCTTTAAGATTTATTTTCATTCTTTATGTGTGTGGCATATACACGTGATTGCAGGTATCTGGAGAGACCAGAGACGTTGGATCCTGCTAGAGCTGGAGTTACAGGTAGTTGTGAGCCTCCCAATGTGGGTGCTCGAAACCAAACTTGAACTCAGATCCTCTGTAAGAACAAGGTGCATTCTTACCTATTGAGCCATATCTCCAGTACCCTATGTTTCTCTTATATCACACAAGCACAGAGGTTGGCATACCAGCATTGGTATAGCAGCTCCATCGTCGTCCAAGATGAGGGTCCTCTCCTGTTGTATCATCCTTAGCCTGTGGCTCCAAGATAACTGCCAGTGCCCCAGCCACCATGCCCTGCCATTCCTGCAGGGGAGGAAACAAAAGTCTCAGTGCTAAACTGAGCTAGCTCCCTTTACAAGGCCTTCCCAGGAACCCCATTCAGTGGTAGCTTTGTCATTATTGGTCCCACACAACTGCAAAGGAGGCTGGGAGTGTGGTCTTCTAGCTATACACTTAACCACCCTGAATAAATCACTAGTTATATTAAGAAAGAAAAGACCTTTAGAGCATGCTGTCCCATCCTCTAATGTGACCAGCCGGTCTCACACAGGTGACAAAGGTGAACGAACACTTGTCCAGTTAATGTAGGTGTTTAGAGGGAGGGCCCAACATGAATGCTGCCATCTAGAGGATTGCAAGAGAAAAGGCCTAGACCAAGTTGTGGAGAGGTTTTGTTATGTTAATCACTTTCCTTCTTTGTTCTTTGTACCATTCTGTTCTGCTGGAGTGTCCTTTCTCCTTTACACATCCCACACTACAGGAAAGCATATACCGGCCAGAACATAGGTACATGACTCACCTGGGATACTCTTTTTTTCCAGAAAATGCTAATGAGCTCAAAGTTGTACTTGCGTTAGGAAGGAGAAAGAAGAGGGTGGATATTGGAGTAGTCAGCTGGCAGGCTCTGTGTGCAGGGAAGGAGAAGGGTGCTGCGTCAGTAGGTCTCTGTCTAAAAGGATGGGGCTAGTGAGGACATTTAGCTCCTGGATGGAGGCTGAAGGTGCTCCCTGCGACATTCGGATTCCCTGGCTGTGTGCCCTGCAGTTCAGCTCTTTGTGTGTTAGAGTGTCTGAGTCGGCCCTTCAGTCGCCTTTTCCCTGTAGTCCCCACTTTAGTTTTGTCGAACTGTCTTGCTCCGT